ATCATGTTGTTGTTATAATCGGTCGTGGTTGTTATAATCATGGTCGTGGTTGTTATAATCATGGTCGTGGTTGTTATAATCATGGTCGTGGTTGTTATAATCATGGTCGTGGTTGTTATAATCATGGTCGTGGTTGTTATAATCATGGTCGTGATACTTACAGTATCTAATATACTATAAGAAGGATTAGAATAAAGGTTAGAATAATTAATTAAAGAAATATTCGCCATAAGGAGAGGTTAAAATAAAATAAAAATTATTATGAATCACCAATGATCATTCCGAGATTCTGATTCTGGTTAGATTAGTCACCATCTGCTTAAGTCATCACCTGTGTTAAGTCATCATAGTCATCATCTACGTTAGTCAGTTTTAGGCCCATCTCACATGACTGACCGACTATCAATGTTCTTTGCGCGCGAGGGTGTTAGTTTTCAATGCATCTTATTATTTACGCTAGTGGATGCAAGACTTCCTATCCCCACTGACTCAGCTATGGTCAATTTGGTGTTATTCTTGTTTATAAATGCCTTCTAATCTGTCTCAAGTCTATCCGTCCTGTCTATTGCCATCCCAACTGTCTGTTCCTCTGCATGGTGTTTGAATGTAAGCCCGTCTGTACTCTTTGTGTCGTCAAATCTGTCTGTCTTATCCGTTGGCGTGTCTCTGCCTGTTTGTCTAATGTGAACCAGTCAGTCAGCTGTCTGTCTGTCTGTCATGTTAGTTGCCATATTGTCTATTTGTGCATGTGTGAATCTGTCTATTTTTGTCAACCTCCTGTCTGTTTCTGTCTATATTCACCCTGTGTCTATTGTAGTCATCTTCTCCATGCATTCCTGTTATTATATTTTTATCTCTTCTCCTTTTCCATGAGCCACAGGAATAAGTATACACTGTAGCTGTAAGGTCGTCTGGTAACGTTGAAACTGCGCATCCAGACGCATGATGGAACTCAGCTCCCCCCCCCACCTGATATCTCGAACTATTTTCTGTTTCCCCTTCTTGATTCTTCTATTTACTCATCTTCCTTCCTTTACTAATCCAAACAACATTAAAAAAAAAGTAGGCTAAGAAAAAAAGTGGGGGAAGGAGGAGGGAGCCGTACGATAACTGCAATCGTGGGCCGACAGCGTACAGCGAATGAGGGTGCGCCAAGTCCGTAGACTTGCATCGTTTTCCAGCATAAATAAAATGGCTATGTAATGGCTTCCTAAAGAAACCATTGATATGGGACCAGGTTTGTTCCGCTCTACGAATTTTTTGCAATTTTTCCACCAAGTTTGATGAAAAACGATTGTGCCATTTCGGCTGCCCAGAACACACACACACACAAACCTAGTCCTATAGTACAGTGGTCCCTCGTTTAACGAGCGCTTTGGTTAGCGAGATTTCGGTTAACGAGTTACCTCCCATAAGATTTTTAACTTCGGTTAACGAGCAATCCCTCGATTAACGAATTTCTTACGAGCCGACCTGAACATGTTTTCGCTTGCACTTGGCGGTCAACCAGCTGTAGTATTAGTCCGCCAATACAGTAATCGGTTCTAGGGCTTAAATTCCTTACTATTTTAGTAAATATCAAGAAGTTTATACTATTCAATAATTTTAAAAGTTTAATATTAAATTTTTTAGTCATTTTAACAATTATTGAACATAATTGAAGATAAAGAAACTAGTTTCTGGCGCGCCATCCAGCCTGTTAACACACCAAACCAGCGTTAGTCTCTCTGTGTTTTCAGTCGAGGTAACATCTTGCTTGAGACTCTCTTCAACTAAACGCTTTTTTTTCTGTGTTTCCAAGCAAATTATTAGTAATTTTGAAATTTATTTTACATATTGACAATATATAGTGCAGTGCAGTGTTATTTTAAAGAAAATATTCTTTATTTACAGCTAGTGTAAACTTTAAAAATCACGTGTTGATCAAGACAAGCGATTTCAATCCAAACCAAGCAGGAAATTATTAAGAAACATGAAGAAGGCATTAAAACAAATGCGCTATGCAAAGAATATGGCATGTCGACAATTCTTGCACAGAAAGACAAATTTAAAGAAGTGAAAGTGAGAGACAAATCTACCAGTGTTTTTAAAGCTAGAGCCCTAATTGCAGAAACAGAGAGGTTACTTCTCATCTGGATTAGGGAAAAACAGATGAAAGGTGATTCAGTTTCTACTGAATTCATTTGTGAAAGAGCCAGGGAGATTTACAAACATTTAAAGACAGATCAACCTGGTTCTTTAGGCACAGAATTTGAAGATTTTTGGGCCAGCAAAGGCTGGTTCAAAAAATTTAGGAAAAGAAGTGACATTTTCAGTGTTATTAGGCATGGTGAGGCTGCTAGTGCTGATAAGGAAGGGGCAGCAAAGTTTTTAGTGGAGTTTAAAGAACTGATGGAAGAAGAAAATTATCTTCCACAGCAAGTGTTCAATGTGGACAAAACTGGACGGTTTTGGAAAAAGATGCCCAAAAGAACATTCATCACCAGAGAAGAAGCCTCTTTACCTGGGCATACACCCATGAAAGACCGTCTCACTCTATTGCTTGGTGCCAATGCTTCAGGGGATTTCCGACTGAAGCCTATGCTTGTCTACCACTCTGAAAACCCCAGGGTGTTCAAGCAACAGAAAGTGGTAAGAGGAAAGCTTGGAGTTTATTGGAAGTCCAACCGTAAGGCATGGGTGACAAGACAGCTCTTTAATGAATGGGCTGTTGAGGTGTTTTGCCCTTCTGTCAAGAGCTACCTAACCACCAATAAACTCCCTTTAAAGGCTCTTCTCCTCATGGATAATGCTCCTGGTCATAAGCCTAAACTTGCCAGAACTTTGGAGTATCAATTTGACTTTGTGAAAGTGTTGTTTTTGCCTCCCAACACTACATCAATCATACAGCCAATGGACCAGAATATGATCAGCAACTTCAAGAAGTTGTACATGAAGAAAATGTTTAGGTGTTATCAGGCAACTTCCACTGATCCTGAACTAACACTGAAACAGTTCTGGAAGACACAATTCAACATCCTGGAGGCTGTAAAATTGATTGTGTCATCATGGCAAGAAGTCTCCACTAGATCCCTCAATTCTTCATGGAAAGCACCGTGGCCATCAGTAGTCCATGATTTTGAGGGATTTCAGGATGACACAGAGTTGGACCAGGAGATTGTGTCCATTGGTCAGTCATTGGGCCTTGAAGTGGAAGAGGATGATGTTGAAGAGCTTGTGATGTCTCATGAGGAGGAACTTACTCCTGATGACTTAAAGCAACTGGATGAGATGTTAGAGGCTGACAATGGTGAGGAGGAAAGGGGAAAGTGATGACCATATGTCAACTTCAGAGTTAATGATGAGGAGGAGAGATGCCCCACAGACCACAATTGACACTTTCTTCAGTAAAAGGCAAAGGGAAAAAGATGCTAGCCCTCAGCATTCCACTTCAAGAAGGAGAGAGGATGATGATGCTAGCCCTCAGAGAGGATGTTCATGGTGGAGAATCTGTCAGTCCAAAGGTTCCTGACATTTTCATGGAAGGTGACTCGCCTTCCAAGAAGCAGTAAAATGCTTCTCCTCCACCTCCTTCTCTTCTCCCTTCTCCACCTCCTACTTCAAATTCACATCAGCCTTCTACATACACATCTCAAGGTAAGTGTAAATTTCTAACACTTTTGTTGAATTTAGGCAATTTTCGGTGAGCTGGAACCAATTACCCAAAAACCCATTGAAACAATGGTTTCGGTTAACGAGCAACCTGCTGGAACGGATTGTGCTCGTTAACCGAGGGACCACTGTATATTAGATACAGTACAGGTATACAACAAATATACAGTACAGGAATACAACACAGTTCAGGTTGTTACGCCGTCTCTTAATTTACTTTAATACCCAGGTTCTAGGCGTAACTAAACAAAAAAAGTGAAGTAAATCAAAAGGGAATAAAAATAAATAAAGTAAACCTTTAAGAATTTATTTTAATTAAATACTAACACAATAAAAGAGCCTCGTAGGCTGTCACAACAAATTGATTCACTATCAAAACCTTTAAGACACAAATGATACTAAAACATCGAAACATCAAAAGAATAAAAATAGAGCATTGGATTACGTTAACACTGCATAAACATATAAAAACTAACGCTGAAATTAACTATCGTGAAATAACACTGAATTACTTAAATGTAACTAAGCAAGCACTGATGGACACATAAGAGACATGAATAGGTACTCGCATAGATATACCACATTGGTGGCGACAGGAACAACACAGAAATAAAATAAGTATAAGTAACAGGTGACGGGTGTCACTCAAAAGAATGTGAACTGAATGACAAGAGGACTGGACTGAACTCCGTCTGCTGGTGGGGTACTATATATAGGGTCGGCTCCCGCCAATGCGACACACTGGTGAAATATGGGTCGTTTAACGATGTAGATGGTCGTTAGAGAAACAAAGAATGCTTGTTACAAATACTAAATGAAGAAATAAGATGGGCTTGAACAAATAATAACAGTTAAAACCTTAACAGCACAGGGTAAGATTATATAATAGTAAATATAACACATCATTACAGGAATAATATGGAACAACATGGATGCATGTTATAAAAAATAATAGAAAAATACAAGGTCGTAACACGGCATACAACAAATATACAGTTCAGGTATACAACAACTATACAGTACAAGTATACAACAAATACACAGTTCAGGTATACAACAAATATACAGTACAGGTATACAACAAATATACAGTACAGGTATACAACAAATATACAGTTCAGGTATACAACAAATATACAGTTCAGGTATACAACAAATATACAGTTCAGGTATACAACAACTATACAGTACAAGTATACAACAAATATACAGTACAGGTATACAACAAATATACAGTACAGGTATACAACAAATATACAGTACAGGTATACAACAAATACACAGTTCAGGTATACAACAAATATACAGTACAGGTATACAACAAATATACAGTACAGGTATACAACAAATATACAGTACAGGTATACAACAAATATACAGTTCAGGTATACAACAAATATACAGTACAGGAATACAACAAATATCAGTACAGGTATACAAACAATGGCAAACAGTAAGTCAGTTCGACAAAGGATAACCAACACAGCCATCATATGATTATTTCCAATTGGTCTTCTTTTGGAAATAAATAATCCATTATATACACTTCAAATAATTCTTACCCACATGCAAGACCATACAGTTCCCCAGATCATTTATCTTTAAGATCTATCCCTGCAACTTTCATGTAAAATTCTTCTCACCATTGTGTACAGACATATGTCTCTTCAGATGGCTCTTTCTGGAATAACATTTACCACACTCATAACACTTTAAATTCTTCTCACCAGTGTGTACAATCATATGGCTATTCAGATGGCTCTTTGTGTAATAACATTTACCACACTCTTCACACTTAAAATTCTTCTCACCAGTGTGTACAATCATATGGCTCTTCAGATGGCTCTTTCTGTAATAACTTTTACCACACTCTTCACACTTAAAATTCTTCTCGCCAGTGTGTACAACTATATGCTGCTTCAGTTTGCTCTTTCTGGAATAACATTTACCACACTCTTCACATTTAAAAGTCTTCTCATCAGTGTGTACAACCATATGGCTCTTCAGATGGCTCTTTGTGTAATAACATTTACCACACTCTTCACAAATAAAAATTTTCTCACCGGTGTGTACAACCATATGGCTCCTCAGTTTGCTCTTTTTGGAATAACATTTACCACACTCTTCACATTTAAAATTCTCACCAGTGTGTACAACCATATGACCCTTCAAATGGCTCTTTCTGGAATAACATCTACCACACTCTTCACATTTAAAATTCTTCTCATCAGTGTGTACAACCATATGGCTCTTCAAATAGCTCTTTCTGGAACAACATTTACCACACTCTTCACACTTAAAATTATTCTCACCAGTGTGTACAACCACATGCTGCTTCAGATAGTTCTTTCTGGAATAACATTTACCACACTCTTCACATTTAAAATTCTTCTCACCAGTGTGTACAAACATATGGCTCTTCAAATGGCTATTTCTGGAATAACATTTACCACACTCTTCACACTTAAAATTCTTTACACCAGTGTGTACAACTATTTGTTCCTTTAGTTGTTCCTTTTTGTTATAACTTTTACCACTTTCTAGACCTTTACGAGTTTTCTCATCAACAGTCACATGTTGTGTCACATCATAGTTACTGTTAAAACTTTCATCAAACTCTTCACACTTAATATCTTTTTCATTAACAGTCACATCATAGTTACTGTTAAAACTTTCATCAAACTCTTCACACTTAATATCTTTCTCATTAACAGTCACATGTTGTGTCACATCATAGTTACTGTTAAAACTTTCATCAACTTCTTCATATTTAATATTTATCTCAATGTGTTCAGCCAAACAGGTATGCATCTTCATAGAATCATTACAGTAAAATAATTCACCACACTGTACACACTCATAATTATTTTGGCCACCATGTCCAGCCATTTGATTCATAAACCGGGCCATCTTTTACACACTTTACAACACTCCATACAAGAAAATATTTCCTTCACTGTACACATGTTTGGGTAACTTTTGTACTGTATAAAAAAGTTATCCACTCTTCACAGCTAAATTTGCATAAATAATTCTGCACATGTGTGTGGTTCTTGAGCTCACTATTGTATGAGAAATATTTACCACAAGTGAACTTTGTCTCACCAGTATACAAGCACAGCAGACAAACACTTGTCACATTTATATATTGGAACTTTTATCAGCAGTGTACACAAGCAAAAGAGTCACAAGGTAGTTGTTTAGGTAAAAACATTGCAACTCTCATCATACTGTATTTAAACTATATATAACACAGTGCATCATTTAACTGGTATTTTCAAGAGAAAGTTTCACTTGTGTGAACGTTCTTTTTTTTCTCACTGTTTCCTAGAACACCAACTTGACTTCCATATTTGTAACTTAAGACTTGGAGAGTTGACAATTTACCTCAATCTTGATTACAATGTTCTCCTGAAGATGTTCACTAATCCTCATACTGTACTGACTTATTGTACAGTTGTGAGGAATTGTTCTGCCTCTTATTTTACAGAGCTTTAATTCTTGGTTGTGGTGGGAGATGTTTGTGTGGGATGGCCTCCTGATGCTACCATAATATTTCTTTCTTACATCTGCCCAATCACACCTTTATGTCTGAAACAAAGTGAACAGTATTACAATGTTGAAGTTTTCAAAATTCCATAGTTGATGGAAGACTTACTGATAGATATTTACCCAAGGAAACAACTTGGTTGGCTCTGTACTGTACTCAAATAGCCTTACTTCCCTAACTAGAGTCAGTACAGTACTCAGTAACTGCTGGAATGACTTAGGATGTTTTGGGTACTAACGACCAACCCTAAGACTGAAGGTAAACCCTGTGTCCTCTCAGCTGCTTCACCTTTTCATTAGAATGTGGAATCAATTTTAAAATGTGCATCTTGCAGTAGCTACCTTGTGTCATTCTAAGTGTCAAGACATTGGGAGGAAAAAATTACTATCCACAAAGAACAACGAATCCCACAGAACTGTTCAGCAAGTGAAGGGAGTGTGAAGTCACAACATCAGATTGTTATAAATTTCTGTACAATGAAGCAAATAAATAGTTCTTGCTTATAAAGAATAATATTAACTGCATTACCTATGTGACTCAGTCCTTATTAAAAACTAATATCTACAAAAAAAAAAGGTAGTACAGTACAATATTACAATACATCGTCTTCACAATAGGTTAAGACAGGTTTGGTTGGTTTACTAGATTGTAACAGCACCTTTGCTTTATAGAAATATACCCCTAACTCCAAGTTATTTATCAGATTATTCTACAAGTGATTCACCATATTGTTTATGACTAGATCACTGAGGTTGTGTGTCGCAAGGCTCAAGCCAGGGTCAGCCGATTCAGTATACAGTACACTGCTTGCTCGCTACCACTCTCTCACACCCCAGAAAGGGGCAGTTCTCTCCATAGCACTAGACAGGAAGTTTACACTTAACAGAAGTGTTATTCACAACACTTCCATGGAGATAATTCACAATATATTCGCTCAGATTATATATGTGTATATACCTGCTCTCAGCAATAAAACAGAAAATGCCAAGAAGTGTTTACATCAAAGACCTGCCACTTAAAAGTTCCAGAACTTAATTAAAACAATTAGTGTCATACCAAAAGAGCAATCCATTGTTCCATGTATTTATTTGAAGTGTATTTCCTCAATAGATTTGCACTATATGTATTAAAACAAACAAACCAGTTAAAATACCATTACACGTCACCCACATACTTCAAAGTGCTGTTTTCACCTTGTAAATGTTCATACATTAGATGGAGGCTAGGCCAGGGAAGTGTCAGTGTGAACCTGGATACTGTACTTGGATGAATTAATAAACCTTTACTGAGTGAACACAATGATCTGGTTCTCCATGGTGTATCATCATCCCAGAATGTAGGAAAAAAGTCACAAACCTTAACCTAACTTAACATTATTTAGGCTATTTAAAAGATGTGTTTATATCCCTGACTTTTTCTAACCCCAATTGTGACTTTCTTTCCAGACACCTAAACAGAAGATGTCATCATAAGTGAGGAACAACTCTCCTGGCACTGAAGCTTTGGATGATAAAGTACATCCTCTCTACAGGAAGTTAGTTGACTCAATATAAAAACACCTCTGACATAAGCAAGAAAAATCTACTACATCAATATTCACAGGAGGAAATAACCTCTTGAGATTTAGTAACATGAAGCAAATTTTACAACAAACTTCACAAACTTACCAAAGTCTTGTCCTCAACCAGGAGATAAAATAAAGCTTGATCCACAAGTAAATAAGTTGAGATTTAAGTGAGTCAGTACAAACCCCAGCAGGAACCAGGTCCTCCTGTAATATAAAAACAATTAAATGTGATTAACAACATAAAGAGTGAGCAAGTCTTAATTAACCTCAATATTCATGTTTTAATAATACACAGAGAGAGTGTTACCATCACTTCCCTCTTATATTCTTAAGGCCTTCAAAGCACAGGAATATCACTTAATATTTATAATTTTCAGCCCACAAAACAACCACGTGGACAGTGACCTAACACAAATGCAGAAAGCTCCCATGTATACTGTGCACTAAATGACCATATATATTTATAGACACAGGTCACTCAAAGTTATTAATAAATGACATAATAATTTGTGTAAGATGGTCCAGTGTTATTGAAACAAAGCTTAACAAAAAAAATTGATTATTCCTTATCTACATGGATACACCCCATTTAGTAACCACTAACAGTCGCTGGTATGAGTGACAAATTGTAAGTTATTATTTTACACCAATAGAAATGACACATGTATACAGATGACTCAAGAAGTATTGTGTTATTATACATGACCAAGAAGTATTGTGTTATTATACATGACCATTAATTATTTAGTAAAAGAAAAAATGACTAAAACATTTTGTAAAGGTGTATAAAAGGGTGACCACTAGAAGGAATTGTCCAAATTGGTTGAATTTTCTCTGCACGCTAATAACATTATATTAAACACAGATGGAAGACAATGCATAGAACCTGACAATTTATTATTTACTCTAACCCGCTTCACAATTATCCTCCCGGCGCCATTTTTGTTATTTACCTTGCTGAATCCCTTTTCAAGAGACGTTTCCTAAATGATGGTGAACGCTTCCACATATTGCTCCTCACCATTGCTGATGTACTGTATATCAACCTCAATATTAAGGTAGGTTGTTTAACACATTAATGCATAAAACCTAATAGAACCTGACCTAACAAACCCATAGTTGGGTATGTTAGATCAGATTCTATACATTGTCGTTTCCATTTTTGTGTTTAATATCATGATATTAGTGTGTAGAAAAATTTCAACCAATTTGGACAATTCCTTCTGGTGGTCACCACCTTCTACATTTTTACCAAACATTGGTAAATAAACAAAATACAGAACAAATAAAGAATTATTGTGTTATTATTATAAATGAATATTAATTATTTAATAAAGAAAATGGTTAAAACATTTCGTAAATAAACAAAATATAGAAAAAAATAAAGGTGATTTCGCACCAGCGCATAAACCCATTGAGCAGTGAGATAATTGTAGGCGTATTAACAATGTTTTTAGGTTTTATTTTCGCCTTTTAATAAATTATCTTTGTGTTTGTTATTATTTTATATCCCAAGCTAAAGCTGCCTCCCAAAGTTGGGAATGCTGTACAGATGCAGTAGCTACTTCACTCCTGAGAAGTTGCTTCAAGCATATAAGGGGTTCATTCGTCCTAACTTGGAGTACTTCTCTCATATCTGGGGTGGCTCTTCAACTATAAGATAGGGTGGAATCAAAGGCAACATTCTCTCTCTTCCCTTTCTCTTCGCCGCAATGTTGCTTCACTTTCTCTCTTTTACAGGTACTTTAACGGGCAATGTTCGTGTGGTGGGATGAAATCCTAGACAAGGTTCTTCAAACTCCAGAGCACGAGCAGTAGATATATTTAATAAGTAGTACAAGACTTGGCAGGATAACCAACCGGTACAGAAACAGGAGCCAGCACAAGGAACTCCTCGTCGTAAGCAGGCCGAAGCCGATCTGAGGGAAGTTAGCTAGCTAGGCAAGGAGAGTTGCTAGACATTACTAGGACAATAAATGAGGTCTTCTAGTTACTCGACTAGCGCGGTACAGACATAGTACATCGGTACATGGTAAGTGAACATAGGCATTAGACATAAGCATAGATATCAGACATGCTATAATAATATGTAGTAATACAGACATGTGAATAAATGGTACAATGAATGGTAACAGAGTCTTGGCGTCAGGCGTGTTCACATATCTTGGTATTTACATATCTATACACCTCCCTCCCCCTTTACGCTCGTAGTGCAATCTCGAGCGGCTACGGACTCTTTTTCCATGAGTCGGGGGGAGCGGCGAGGGACAATGGGAGGATCAACTGACGACCTTCGTTCCTGGTCTGGGCAAGGGGGCACAGGGGACGGGGAGGAAGGTTCGTCACTAGAGGATGGCACTGGGCGGAGATGGCGTCTGTTTCGCCACCACACACGACCACTGGGGAGGCGGACTTGGTACGAACGGGACTCGCCACGGCCCATGACGACCCCGACTTTGTCCCAGCGGTGTGACGTCGGGTCCTGGATTCGTACTTGCTGGCCGACGGTCAACCTGGGAAGGGGGCGGGCGTGGGCGTCATAGTGGCTTGTCACTTGGGCCATCCGGGCAGCCTCACGGCGGTCACACTCGTCCGCCTTGATCTGCCATTCATCTAAGAAGGACTGGGGGTGGGCAGGCACACAAGTACGAAGGGCGCGGCCATACAACACCTGGGCAGGAGAGCGTCCGGCAGGGGTAGGGGTGTTACGGAGTTCCAGTAGGCCCCTGTCGAACTCCTCACAGTCCTGGTTCCCCGTCGGTGCTGTCTTGAGGATGAGGTATTTTACGGACTTTACCGCTGCCTCGGCGTGGCCATTCGCCTGCGGGTAATGAGGGGAGGTGACGATGTGGTGGACGCCCCAGCATTCGGCGAAGCTCTTGAACTCGTGGCTATTGAACGGGGGCCCACCGTCGGTTCGGAGGCGGAGAGGCACTCCGACTTCCCGGAAGAAGCAACAGAACATCCGGATGACCCTAGAAGAGGTGGTGTCCCGATCACAGGGGACCACCACGGGCCATCCAGAGAGCCTGTCGGCGACCACCAGGAAAGACTTTCCGGCCACATGAAAGAAGTCGGCGGACACAGACTCAAAGGGCCGCTTCGGGAGGTCATTGCACAGGTACGGCTCTTGTTGCTGGCTGGGCTGGAGTTGCTGGCAAGGCTCACAGGCCTCAACCATGCTCTTAATATCGGCGTCAATACCAGGCCTCCACCATGCTCTTAATATCGGCGTCAATACCAGGCCAGAAGACGGTCTGACGGGCTCTGCGCCTGGTGGCTTCAACGCCGCGGTGGCTGTCATGGAGGCGGGATAAGGTGCGCCGGCGGAGGGCAACGGGAACGACGATCCTGGGGCCGTACAACACCAGCTCTCCGTCCGCATAGAGGCTATCCCTTAGCTTCCAGAAGGGGAGGGCGGAGGCGTGAATGTCGTAGCGGTTGGTGGGGAATCCAGCGGAGACGTAGTCGAGGAGTTGGACGTATGCCGGGTCTTGAGCGGCGGCGATGCAAAGCTCCTGGAGAGTCCTATCGTCTTCGATGGAGGGCGTCGTCGTCGTCTTGTCAGCAAGAGAAGTGGCTGTGTGTGTGTCACTAAAGACCGAACGTGAGCCGCGGCCGTGGTACAGTCGACTTCATCTTCAGGTGTGGGGCGACTAACAGGGGCTCGGGAGAGGGCGTCTGGTATGCACAGAAGCTTCCCGGCGCGCCACACAGCTGTAAAGACGTAAGGGGCGGTCTTCTCTTTGAGACGTTGAAGGCGAGGATTTTTGATGGCGTCCAACGTGTAGTGATTGAGGATGGGTATGAGCGGGCGATGGTCCGTCATGAGGGTGAAATGCCCAAGGCCGAACAGGTAAAGGCGGCACTTGGCCATAGCCCAGGCGACTGCCAGCATCTCTAGTTCGATGGTGGCGTATCTGGTCTCCGTGTCGGTCAAAAACCTGGAGCCACACTGAACTAAGCGCAGTCTACCCTGGCCGTGATCTTGAAGGAGGGCATATCCGAGGCCGTATAGACGGGAGGCATCGGTCTGGAGGACCACTGGTAAGGACGGGTCGAAGGGTGCCAAGACTGGTGGTGACAGCAACGCCTTCTTAACATTCCTGAACGCTAGGTCGTGGTCAGGAGTCCAGAGGAAAGAGCGCTTGGGGCTCATGAGGGGGCGTAGAGGTTGGGCTGATGTGGCGATTTTAGGGGAGAAGTCGGCCAGCTGATTTGTCAGGCCCATAAATGAGCGAAGGTCGGTCAGGTTCGCTGGAGTAGGGAAGTCCCTGATGGACTTGACCTTCTCCTCATCAGCTGAGATCCCCTCTGGCGAGATGTTGTAGCCGCAGTAGTTAACTTGGGAGGCGGCGACCACAAATTTATCTTTGTTCAGGGTGATACCATGGGCACGACATCTTGTGAGCATCAGATGAACTCGGTTCAAGTGGGCCGGGAGATCATCGTCGAAGAGCAGGATGTCATCTACGACCTTCACGCAGTTGGTGACACCCTGCAGAGCCATATCCCCACGGAGGCAGTACGCATCCCCCGTTGCTGCGAAGCCCATGGGTCCGCGGCAGTGTTGGAAGCGGCCGTAGGGCGTGATGAATGTAGTGAGGTGGCGATCTTCTTCCGCCAGGTCGACTTGCCAGTACCCATGTAGTGCATCCGCCGTGGTAAAGAACTTTGCAGACGGGGTGACGCTGCGGACTGCTTGGATGGGCGTAGGCATGGATGGGCGGGACGGGAGACCTGCGAGTTGAGATGGGTGAGGTCCACTGTGATGCGAACACCTACAGGCTTGGGTGCCAAGACCATAGGGTGGCACCACTCGGAGGGCTCCTCACCGGCGTGTCTGATGATCCCCTGCTGCACCAGAGAATCGAGCTCCGCCTTCACCTTGTCCTGTAGGGCAAAGGGGATAGGCCTGGGTGTGTGGATGGCGAAAGGCGTCGCGCCAGGCTTGAGGTGGATTCTCATCGGGGGGCCTGTCATCTTCTTGAGCGGCGTCTTCTGGAGGTCGGACTTGGAGACAAGGACGTCGCTGAACTGACAAAGAAAGAACTCCTGGGCGGCAGCAGGCGTGGTCATGGCTGAAACAGGTATCTCTGCACACCTGTTGAGGTGTGTCACGGCGAGGATGGGCTTTGGGAACTCGGATGAGACGATGGCCAAGTCCTGACAATGGCCACATGACAAGAGAGGGGTTTGGATGC